GGCCCCTGCCTGCTCCTGGCTCACGTCTGCCACGCTCCTCACGTAGCCTGCGCCACACCCTGTCAGGCCCCTGCAGCCTAGCAGGGGGGCCCCCTTGGGCCTTTTGAGTCAACCCTCTGGGGCCCCACCTCCTGACTCTCCCACCCCCTCCCCCCTGCGTGGGACTCCAGCTGAGGGTCAGGGGTGCTTCCGCTGCAGGGAGCGAGGGAAGAGGGTGGGGTGGAGCTGCCTCCCCTCTGCGGCGTGGGAACCAGGGCTGTGTGCGCAGGAGCTGGGCAGGGCGGTGAGAGGCGCCCCGGAGGCTGGGGGCTGAGCGGCAGGAAGGAGGAGGCTGGCTGACGTCGGTGGAGGGCATGGACCCGTCCCAGCCAGGCTCAGAAGTCTGGCCGGTCCTTCTTCAGCTTCTTATAATCCGTGGAAACTGCAAGGAACTGGTGGGGGGGGGGGTATGAAGCGATGCACTGAGTGCCCCCTCTCCCAGGGGCGCCAAGGGGTCTTCCCAGGGACCAAGAAAGGAGAGGATGGGGTGCAACCCTAGAGCCCCCTACAGGTACCTTGTACTGGTCGTTGGGGCTCAGGCGGTTCCAGGGCTCCGGGTTGTTCTTCCGGTCCCAGCTGTGGAGAGTGGGGGGAGAATTTTCTCTGTGGGAAGTAGGACCCCAGCGCCTAAGGTAACACCAGCATCTCTGCCTCCAGCCCCACCCCAACCCTGGGGGGGGCGGGCCATTTCGGGGAGCATTAGCAGTTTGGAGACTAGAAGGCTGTCGCCCTTGTCAGAGCGAGACCAGATGAGGGACTGACAACCCAACCCAGCGACCCCCACTGCACCTCGCCTCCCGAGGCCCTCCCAGCAGAGCAGAGCTCGGAGATCGCAGAGATCGAGGGGCTGGGGCTTGTGCGATGTGTCCCAATTCTGACAACATGGGGCTGTCTTGATGCGTTCAGAGGACCCCCACCCCCACTGCCTCTGGAGTCTCGTCACCCCGGCCCCTACCGCACCCCCAGAGCTGCCTGGCCACATCCCCAGACCCCGCAGGGATATTGAGGTACCCACAGGCCGCCCGCGGCGGCACAACAGCGTTGCCATGGCAGCCGGGGCAAGTCTGGAGCCACAGAGGAGAGTGCGGTTGGGTGGGCCCAGGGGGAGATGCTGGGGGGTGGGGGCTGCAGGGGATCCCTGCCAGGCCCACCGACCCCCCCATTCCTGAGAGGCCCCTCTTTCCTGCCCCATCCTGCCCCATCCAGGACCCCTGCCAGCCTCTCCAGCCCGGCCTTACCAGACGTCGGGGCTGCGCAGGGCGAGCCGCAGCAAGTAGAGCGCAGCGCTGCCCATGCCCAGGCCGATGAAGCCGATCATGGGGATGAGCTGCGGGAAGGCCCAGGACACTGTCAGCCGCTCCCCTCCCCGCAGTTCCCCGTCCTGCCGGGCGGCCCCCAGCCCCACCTCGGACCCGTGCTCCCTCCCTCCTGGGAGAGGGGACTGGAGCCTCCTGCACCACAGCCCCGGCCCTGTCCCCCTCACCCCACAGCGAGTCTCTCTAGGGGGATTCGAGGGACACGGGGAGGGGCACCTTGCAGGGGGAGGTGAGGACACCCTGGGAGAGGTTAGAGCACTTGGGGGTGGGGAGGCTAGGCAAGAGGGTACGGGGAGCGCTGGGCAGTGAAAAAGTTAGGCGTTGGAAGCAGTGGCTCTGGGACCCAACTCACCGCGGGATGTCTCTTGATCTGCCGGTACAAGCGGGCCCCGAGACCGGTTCCCGCCATCTCGCCTCTTCGTGTCTGGTCCTCTTTGGGGCTCGGCTCCCTCGCTCCTCCTGGGGTCCCGCCCCGCTGGGGAGGGGTCAGCCCAGCCCTGCCCAGCCCAGCCTGCCGCAGCCAACTTACCCCACGCCCCCATTCCGCTTCTTCCCCAGTTCCAGGCTGGGAGCAGGAGGAGCTGTTGGGGAGCTGAGGGATTTCTGCTCCACTCTCTCCTCCGGGGGCGCCTCGGGCCCACAGGGACACCTCATACTTGGGTCTCTGGGTTGGTCCTAAGCCTGGGAGAGGCCTCACAGGCTTCCCAGACTCTCTGATTGAGAGGGGATCCAGAAGTGGGGGAGGGGTCAGGGACACCCCCCTCCCCGCCCCCCCCACAGGCTGGCAGGCAGACCCCCAGAGAAGTGCAGGTGTGGAGTGCTCTCAAGTGGCACCAGGAGGGCCAGGGCAGCCATTGCCACCTGGGTGCCACCGCACACTGTGTGCTGCAAGTTTTAAAACATGCAATACCTGACTATTGAGTCAGGGGCATCGACCTCTTTTCTTTTATGTTGTCAAATAAAATGACAACAGCCAACACAACAATAGCCATCTGGTGTGAATGAATCAGTTATACCTACTTTGGCGCATATATATATACACACACACATCGGTGTGCTGCAGAATTTACTAGTTAGCTTGTGTGTGCCGTGAGATGAAAGGTTGGAAATCACGTCTCCGGAGCATCCAGGAGCTAGCAGGTCCTGGAGGCCCTAGTTCTGACCCCACCACAGTGCAGTGGGAGGAGGGGGGGGCGGACAGTCCAACAGAAGAGCTAACGCTGTTTCCCTCTAGTTCTGGGTGGTTCCTCCCAGTTGTGTTCTGGTTGGCCTGGGACAGTGCTTGGAGGCCAGGGGAGCTGGAGGCATCTTCAACGGGGCTTAAGACAGAGTAAGTCAGTTGTTGAAGTTTGGGGGCTTGAGAAACTTGCTTGCCCTGCCTCCCTTGGGGAAGGAGAAGGGGCAGCCATCCAAGGAGGCCACTCTCTGCCTCTGGCTGTGACAGAGAGGAGAAGGGAGCGAGAAAACCAGTTCAGGAGAGACAGACAAGATGTTGAAGGAGGAAAGAGAACAAGACACACAAACAGAAGTGCAGAGCAAGCAATTGATTGCCCCACCCCCCATGCTATGCTGTCAGGGTGAGAAGGCTCACTCACCATCTTTGGGGAATTGGGGTTCCAGGGACCCAGGAGCCCACCCTAACTACCTCTCCCACTCCCACCCTCCTTCTCCCTGCCTGCCTCCCCCTGGTCACTCGGATACCACCAGCTCCCCACCTCCCTCCAGAGCCCTGTGGCGGCTGGGGCCAGGGTGACCCGTGCACCCCTCTCTGGGGACCTGGGCACAGGGAGGAGGGGGCCCTTCCTGGGGGCTTCCTTCCTTTCCCTGGAGCTGATACTTCCCCTGTCCCCTCCGTTGACAAGTGCGGCTATAATTAGGCTGCGGGGTCCCAGGCTAGAGCCTCCCTCCGGCGGATAATGAGATAAAGTGTCAGAGACAGGGCGAAAACAAAGAGACCCAGACTCGCCTCGCGTGTGGGGGGCGGGGAAGGGGGACTGACTGAAGGGATGTCAGAGCCTAGAGCGGCCGCAGGGCCGCACCCGCCCTGAGCACTGGCCGGGGAGTGGGGTGTCTGTCATCCGTGCACCCCAGCCTTCCAGTCTCTGAGGTGACGGGCATGTGGAGGTGACCGGAAAGGGGACCCCAGTCAGTGCCTTGAAGTGTCCCCGGGCTGTCCTGTAAGACAATCAATCCCAGAGCTCGAGCTGGAGGGGCCAGAGCTGGGCTGCACACCTGGCTCTATGTGCACAGCTGGTGCGCCAGGAAGCGACGGGACCTCTGGCCCCTACGCCGCACCCCTTTGATTCTCGGGTCATCGCCCGCCTTCCTGGGTCCTTTCCTGTGCGCCCCAGTGACCTGGCCTAGCACGTCCCAAACCTCTGCCCGCTCCCTTCCTTGAGCTCGGGCCTCCGGCCTCCGGCGTGCGCCTCCGACCACTCTCCCAGCTCCTTCTCACGTTTTTGCTTCTGATCTGGGCTCCCTGGGGCTCCCTGACCTCCCACCTGCTTCCG